ACCAGTATTTCTTTGCGTTGAGCGCCTTGAATATAGAAGCACTTCACTATCGCGAAGGAAATCAGAGTCATGTTTATCAAGCGAGGAACAAGTTATCCACAAACCTGAAAGTCAGTTTCATCAACAATATCTTTTGAAAACTGTTTCAAGAATGCTGCGCAGACGTACAGATGAAATGAGGCAAATCCATTTTCTACAGCCTAGTGGGAAGACGAACAAAAGAAATTGCATCAATCTCTTAACCCTTCACACCCTAACATCAGTATGCATATTCTCCATACTGTTCTATATATATTTCCTAGGTTCTAACAAGGAGAATTTGTAAAACCATCAAGAGCTTTGTTAATTGCTGATCATTTCCTTTATTCTCGTAACTTAAACATCTGATTCAAGGGAAGGATTGTGAAGAGAAAATAGAACCTTGTCACTTTTAGGTTAAGAGGTCTTGAAGTTGCCAAGCAATAATTACTACATCGAAAAGCAGTGCTCAAAGTTGCCAGTCTTCGGTCGCCCCGATGAGTAGAAAAAACAAGTTAAAAAAACAAAAAGCGAAAAACTTTGCTGCTCAAGTCACCAATTTGACGACCTTAATCGCTTCGCGACTATGGTCTTTAGTTTCTGTGAGATGAACATTTGCATACAAAACTATCACGGCAATTTTCAATACACTTTACTTTGTTCTGTGATAAGTCCAGAAACTCGTGCTAATGCCAACCAATCAGATGTAAAATTAACAGAAACTCGCGCCACTCTCAACCAATGAGATGCAAAATTAACAGAAACTCAAGCCACTCTCAACCAATCAGATGTAAAATTAACAGAAACTCGCGTCACTCTCAACCAATCAGATGCAAAATTACCAGAAACTCGCGCCACTCTCAACCAATCAGATGAAAAATTAACATCCAATCACGACTTGGTCGCCGGTGTTTCCCCGCGCTTTAGGCTGTTTATCATTTTGAGTTCTCATTGGCCCTTGAAAGTATTTTCTTCTACTCTGATTAGCCGTTGAAATTACTTCGGCTTTGGTTTTTGGATTGCGTGAGTAACATTAGGGAAATTTTCCTTGCAGATACATACCAGGTAAGTATCCCAAAGTCGTATTGTACATCTTAAAGGCATCTCACGCATTAGAAGATTATTCATCCAACGGAAGGCAAACTGTAAATATTCCACATTATTTCTCTCCAAGTGATGATTCAAAGGTTCTGGTAAGTAAATAAAAATTGGAAGAACATCTCTCGTAAGTAAATTAGAGAGCATAGAAAAAGTCCCTAGAAAGAATCGACCTCTCTACAAACCAGTTTAACCCTTAAAACTCCCATGAGTGACCGAGACAGAATTTCTCCTCACAATATCAATACAATATCAAGCAGGCAAGTGATGAGAATAAAGAAATATACCAATTAGGAGATTATTAGTTGATCCAATACCAAATTCTCCTAGTAATATTATAAGGGTTGTATGGCAGACAGTCAGAGGAATTACTAATGAGATCTTGGGAGGAAAAGGGTCAAATGAGTTCCAGCGAAACGTCAGGGAAACTTGAACTAATGCTGAGCGTAAACTGTGATGAACTCGCATCCTATCCTGGAAAAGTAGCAATTCTCTTAGTCGGTTCATGCTACAAACAACGGGATAGGTTTTGGCTCCCTGTGAGCCGCGTGGCTCCAGCGCAGACTGAACCTTCTCTTATTCTGTAGTTTTGTAGCTTACTGGCAAAATGGGCCATGAATTCGAGAAAACAACACAGCGAGCCTGCCAGGTCTCGAATCCTGAGCATTCTACCCACGATCCACTGCGTCTCCGTAAACCTTCGGAATACTGGCCTCATATCTCATACGAATCTAGCACAACGGAGGCCCTTTCGACGGAGAAAAATCGTTTTTCTTACCATCGATTCTTTGAATGAGTTCCTTAAGCGCGTTGACCTTCATTTGTATTCCAGGCTGTGCAAATGTGTAATTGTCCTGTGAAAAGAGAACCATTACGTAGTGAAATTGGCACTCTCCATGAGCTTTTGCCCGTTAGTCAAGGACAAAAAAATTTACGGAAGACTGTAAATTACTACGGATCGTCTCACGGAGCCCAATATCTTGCAAACACGCGAAGAACAAGATAAGAAAAGGAACTGCGAAAAAGGATGAAATAAATACGTTTAAGGAAGCTCTATAGGGTTTTTGCGCAATGTTAAAGCGCGCGCCAGCGTAGTTTTTTAGAAATTTTTTTATATTTTGGCTTTTCAAGGTTACAAAAAGCTATCAAAAGGCGGTGAGCAAGGTTCGAACTATCGTTTGCCGTAGTAAATATTAACAAAATGATTTTCGTTGTTCAGCTGTGGCTCCACAGAGGGAGGCGCTCGCCTGTGATAATTTGGCTTTGCCTTTGAATTTCTTCAATTTGCTTCGGTGAAATCTCTAGAGCCTCCTTAAGCGCAAAAAGCTTTTCTAGGATGTACTAATATTAGATTCACCTGTATTCCATCGAGCAACTTGCTCATGCACCAAAAGCTATCTGCTTCTATTGTGTCCAAAGTGTCCTGTGAAAGACCGCTAACATCGTGGTTCTCCAGGTCACCATCTTCAAGAAAAGTGAAACAAAAGGAGGATATAGAGACAGAATCTTTCCAGGGGCCGTCGGTAAGATTTTTAAAAGAGCTGTAGGAGGGCATCTCGGTTAAGATACAGCCACTGATTTCTTATGTTATCCTTAAAACTTTGCGCGGGAACTTTGCGCGCGGCTGGCCAACATTGATCCATTTGCGCATGCCCTACGTTTGACCAATGTGTGTGCGGATTGTGCGCACTGGGCGTGATATCCAGCCGCTGTTCGGAAAGATGGGCCTACGCGACTCTCCCAAAGCTCTCCTTCAGGTCATAGGGGTGTCAAAGATTGGACTTGAATAACCGGATACCATCAACTTTTCTAGATTAACTCAAAGGTCTAAGGTGTAAATTGCTGATGACAATTCACTTACCAACATATGCAGATAAAAACACCACAAAGAAAGGTGTCACCAGATCATTAATTCCCTGAACATAACCACTGGCTGGATGGCGGATGGCCCAGATGTACAAAATCCTCTCAAAAATCTACAAGAAACGAAAACTTCTACGTTAAGACTCAAAGAACCGGTTATTTACACGAGCTCAACCCCAACCGCGGTTTTACTCAAGAAGTGAGTTTCTGGGATTCTCTTCAATGGGGTCGATATAATAGAATAACTGACTCAACTGCTCAACTGCTCAAAAAAATAAACGTTGCGATGAAAGGTTCGGCTAAACTTAAGAGGCTTAGAACGTGGTTTTGTTTAACAACGGCTAAACTTTGTTTAAATAACCGGCCCATGGTCATGTAGTGCAACTCGATGTGTTTGGCAAGTGGCACTTTTTCTCTCAAATTTCTAAACAATGTGATGCTGTAACAGGGGTTTCACTAACCTCTTGCACCAAGGGTTGTTGAAAAAGAGGAATCAGAGGATTTGTTCTTGGAATATCAATGTGTATCTGTTGAAACATTTGATATTAGTAAATTGAAAGCTTATTCCCTATATTCATTTAAGAATCAATGAAAGAAAGAAAAAAAAGTTGGTTTTCTAAACACACTACACAGAGCCTTTAACGAGGTGACAAGATGAAAAACCTCATTGCGTACACTGCTCCTATACAAGTTGCTGAGGCAAATTTTATGCCGTCAGTAATCGAACAAAATCGAAAGAAGTTTTAATAGTATGACTTTTAAGGGTGACCTAACTTTGGCGCAAAAATAGTGGATCTTTAGAAAAATTATCTGCAAGTTATGAATACTTTGCTGCTGTCTTTCAGGTGAAAGAACAGGAGTCATATCATGGAAGACACAAGAAACAAGAAAATTAAATCATCAACGTCCTGGAAGAGGTAAAACCTGTCTATGGTCTGTTCCAGCCGTTCAGTTGGTAAAAAAGGAGTGATATCAAAAACAGCCCGATCGTAGCGGTTGAGTGAAAAAGCGAGGGAAGTTTGGGACGGGTTCATTACGCGACCCGACCCAGACTCCCTCGCCTAAAATTCACTCAACTACCAGTGCATAAATAGTTACCTGTCTAAATGTGTCATGATATGTATCCTCGTATCTCGTTGGATAATACTGCTTGACAAAATTATGGTACTCTTCTCGCTTTCGATCCAACGTTGCTTGTCTTCTGTCAATATTTGCAGGCAAGTATCCCTAGTAACGTAGAACAATTGTTAACCCAGAATTGATTAACATGTTACTTCACCTTAAAATATTCACACATCATCCACCAAACAGGTAATGAGAACACTCAAACTTATCAGGTAGAAGTTGTTATCTTGATCTAACACCAAATTCTTGTAACTAATTTACAAGGAAATGTGTAGCAGCTAGAAGGGATAATTAACAATCAGATTTCAAAAGTTAAGGGGTATCCAACTTACACAGTGATCACTTGTTAACAAACCCTACCGAATTAACAAGCAGACAAAGTTCAATGACGAACAAGGGCGTAGCCAGAGGGTACTCACTAGATTATCATGTCGATCTCCATGTCATGTTTTACTTAAACCTTTTACACCCTAAGATCAGTATGTATATTCTCCATACTGTTCTGTATACATTTCCTAAGGAGCTGACAAGGAGAATTTATTTGTAAACCTAGAGCTTCATTAGTGGGTGATCATTTTCTTCCTTCTTGTAACCTTAATGAATGAATTGAGGGTGATAATGTAAGGAGAAATTAGATGCTTGTCACTCTTAGAGTTCAATGGGCCCATGTGACAGAAAAAAAGGCTTATGAAGGGGAAGGGAGGGGACGTTGTGGGTACCTCAGGACCCCCTAAATAGCTAGACGATCACAAACATATAAAATAAACAGACTTACACAGAGCAACTGCCATGTTGTTGGGCGGACTGTGACTGGGATCCCTGACCAACTTAGTTTCCTTATTGCATCTGCAGATTAGTATAAGGTAAATTCTTAGTATAGTTTAACCATAAACACTCTAACATCAGTATGCATCATCCCCATACTGTTTCCTTATACATTTTCTACAGTGCCACTATTAGCTTGAAACAAAAGCATGCTTACCCAAGTCAGTGTTAGGACCTGCCAACAACTTTCCAAATTTTTCCAGCTTGTGTATTTCTTGATCTTGAAATTCCAGTTTAACAGCTCTAATGGGGGAGGGGGGCTTGGGAGACTGTAGATTGACAGGGGGAGGTGATGGAGAGTG